GTTGTTGTCGCAGGTAGCCAGACGGTTGTTATAGTCCCCGAGCTTGCTGGAAGGCGAGGTATGAGCCTTGTAGCAAGGTCTGTGTGGAGGTGCGACAGCACCCGTACAAGGAACGCCATCAACAAGTCAGCTGGGAGCGCCGTCATCTTCAAGCCAACCGGCGAAGCCTGCGGTCTCGACCAGCCAGGCATCGGCGGGGCCATCTTCTTTAGCTCGATCAATGCCAGAGTCCCCGAGACCCGAGCACGATGTCAGGCCCAGTGAGCAAAGAAGTCACAGCGTGCCCGACCAGCCAATAATAGTGTAGGCTATAGTCAGTACAAGAAGATGTAGTTGTGTTATTGTAAACTTGGACCTTTTCGTGCAAGCTTGTAATAACGTGAATCAGTATATCAACATAAGCTTGTTTGTTTTTGTAGAAAACATGTTTAAGCTCGGATATGATGTTGGTGTAACTAAGTTAGAACGTGTTGGCGTTACATTTAGTTATACCGGGTTTAGCCGACACGCCATCCTGAAAGGTTTGTACGGCCTGGTTTGACTTCGTGGTCGGAGTGTGAGGTGTAATAAAGTATGATCTTTGAAAGGTTCCCCGAGAGCTTGCCGGAAGGCGGCATGAGCCTTGTAGCAAGGTCAAAGAAAATAAATGCCTCTCAACTGTATGTGAGTCTAAGTCACATGTAGCCGAGGAGAACAGTCCTTGGACTGTGGTCGGAGAGTGGTCGGGGCAGTCCCCGTCCACAGGTCGAGGAGCGAGCGATGAAGTCCTCGAACTGTGGTCGGAGAGTGATCGAGGCAGTCCCCAAGCACAGGCTGAGGAGCGAGCGACGAAGTCCCCGAGCCATGGTCGGAGAGTGATCGAGGCAGTCCCCGAGCACGGAGTGGTCTGGCCAGAAGTCCCAGAGCACGGAGTGGTCTGGCGAGTCCCCGAGGGTCCTAGAGCACGGAGTGGTCTGGCGAGTCCCCGAGGGTCCTAGAGCACGGAGTGGTCTGGCGAGTCCTCGAGCACAAGGGTGGTCTGACCAGAGTCCTCGAGCACCGTAGTGGTCTTGGCGAGCCCCGAAGCATGAGCTCGTTGATCAAACTATGTTCCTGAAAAATAAACACGGAGAGCGGTAGTACATGATGATGTACGAAATATATTGATCTCTCTGTAGGAGGTGAAGTAAACACTTGGTGTTCGGTTGGCGATGAATTATACTTGGTGTAATATTCGAAAAATAACATTAGCTGTTTTTAGCCCTTTTGTTATGTAGTGGCGTGGCGCGATGTATTAACTCGTCTCGAAGAATGCGCCACCCTACAGGCTGACCAACATCTCGTGGCCGCGGTACGGAACGGCACCGCCGCGCGTAGAGTGCCGAGTGTTACCGAGGAGCGATCGCCGACTACCCGTGGCGCAGAGGGCGGACTCTCATGCACGCGTGGGGTGGAGCCGGAGACAGTGCCGGCTCTGGGATTATCAAGCAGGAAGGAAAACGTATCGGCGAACCGCTGTAAAAAACTTATACATGTTTTGGATTGTATGTATGGAGAAAATTCGACGTGGAGCGCACCCTTAGGGTGGTCGGCGGAGGTGTACGATGATCGAAGAAATTTTCAATTAAAAATAATACTTAGCTTTATTGACGACCGGTGGGTGTAGTCGGTGTGTTGCGATGTTCGAGAGATGGCTTGACGTGTCGTTGGCGATGAAGTTGTCCGGTCTTCGAGCTTTTCGACCTGTCGTCATGACTGTGGTCGCGATTGTCGTAGCGCCGTTCTTCGCGGCGATCATCATTGCGACATAGTCTTGTGGTCGACGTGGTCGGAGCTCGGCAGAGCTGCTCGGGACGTGGTCGATATGGTCGTGGTCGACGTGGTCGGAGCTCAACGGAGCTGCTCGGGACATGGTCATGGTCGACGTGGTCGGAGCTCGACGGAGCTGCTCGGGATGTGGTCGACGTGGTCGCGGTCGACGTGGTCGGAGCTCAGCGGAGCTGCTCGAGATGTGGTCGACGTGGTCGCGGTCGACGTGGTCGGAGCTCGGCGTGGCTCGCTTAGCGGCTCGCTTGGTTCGACATGACTCGCTTGATGGCTCGGCGTGGCTCACCGACGGCTCACTTGACGACTCAACGCGTGGCTTGCTTGGACGGTTGTGCATCGTTCAGTGCAAAACCATCGCCTCCTCTGTGCCAAATTTGGCGTCGTCTTGCCTTTGCCCAATGAGATCGGCATGCCGCCGATCCTACCGCCATGGAAGCTACGAGATAATCATGAAGCGGATGGTAGAAGCATACGACACGCAATAGAATGCTTAATCTAAAAATAGAAACATGACTTAGCTCATTATGGGCACGTGCGAGCTTGCATCATTCGTGCACGATATCGCTGTCTGACGATAAGGGTACATACACCCATACGAGCAATTAAATTAGCCTTGCATGGTGGTGTAGATCGTGCTTGCTCCAAGATAGATTCTCGGGGTCATTGCATGTTGCTCTAGACTTCGGCGTGTGTCATGTGGAGCCGCCACCATGGCCCATGAGCCTCGATGAAGATGAGACATGCACGCATCACGCGGTATGTCGGATCATGAGGCTCGTCGTCTGTTGTGATCGACTTCGGTACATAACGGTGGTCCTTAGATCCGTCATGATTGAACCCATGTCCGGTCTTCTAGCTTGGCGGTTGATCCCGATCCACGAAATTGAAGGAGCTGGGGGAGCTAATAGATTAATCTGCCAAACCGCAGGCGGAGTCATCCTGCCGTGTGGTGACGGTCGTGAATCCCGCGCGATAGCATGCCGCCTCCGATCGTCATGGGATGCCGAGAGAAGAACCACCGCGAATCATCGAGAAGAGCTGACGAAAACCGAGGAACCGTGCCGTGACGTGTTGCAAAAGGAGTCTTGCTGCGGGAAGCCGAGTCGCCGCGGATAATGTTGATCAAGAAAAATCCCATCTGATTCGCCGGAAGATCAGCACGCACAACCCCTAGAGGGGGCCCCTACCTGGCACGCCACTGTCGACGAAATATGGTCGGCAGTCCACCGAGGGGGGTGCCCGTGGTGGTAGATTATCGGTAGGATGCGTGTGATCTGGAACCAGATGGTGACACAAGGCGTAGAGACAACGATTTAGACAGGTTCGGGCCGTCTGATCGACGTAATTCCCTACGTCCTGTGTCTTTGGTGTATTGTATTGAGATGTATGCTGTCTGATCTCTATGGATCTCTATGGATCTCTATGGATCTCCCCTCTAGGGGACCCTTGCCCCTCCTTATATACTCCGAAGGGACAAGGTTACAAGTAAAGTATCCTATTTGGTACTATTACAATGTCTTGCGGTGCACGCCAAGCAGCGCCGTGCACGCCTTGATCTCACGGGCCAGGCCACCTCGGATGGTGCGGCCCATGTACCATCTTGTGGTACCCGGGGGTCTATCCCCCACAACCGCCGATAGACTAAACGGTCGTGTAGGGCCGATGGCTAGAACACCTATCTAGTCGGCTTGGCTTTTCATGCGACGAAGAAAATACCACTACCGCATCTACTGTTAAACCATCGGTGGTAGAAATCTCAACTGCCGGTTTCCTTCATCAGGAGGCCTCACTATCGGTCAAACCGGCGGTGGAAGTAAAACACAGCCGCTCCTATTGCTACGGCAGTGAAAGTGGCGATAGTGATAAATCAATTTGTAGTAGTGCATCAAGCCAAATATGACCATTACATTGATTAGCTACTTTAGCAATTACGTGGCCCGCCTAGTTACACCACCTATTGACATGGACTAATAAGATAAAAAGTCCTAGATGCAATATATTTTATCTCCTGGATAATCAATCCATATTCTAGAACTAGATATTTTTGGTATCGCAAAAATATCTATTAAGGATGAGGAAAATTATAGAGTATAGATATTTTGTAAGAATGGTGTGTAATGTGCCACATGGTACAATCCTACAGCTCATTTAACACTACAAATAGGGGTGCCCTTCACCATGTAAGGAATAAGTTAAGAAGAAGTCAAGAAGAGTGTGTAATGTGCCACATGGTACATCCTAGAGGTCATTTAATACTACAAATAGGGGTGCCCTTCACCATGTAGAGACTAAGCTAAAGAACTAACTTTCTCCATGCCAAACAACATTTCTTCCCAAATATACCAAATAGATACATCTTGTCACATAAGTTATAGAGTATGGAATGTGCCAAACAAAACAAAAAGGATACTAATCGTGCTAGAGTATGAAATATTCTAGAACTAATATTTTTGGCATCACAAAAATATCTAGTAAGGATGAGGAAAATTATAGAGTACAAATAAGAGTATTTGATGTGCCACATGATGATACAATCCTAGAGGGCATTTAATACTACAAATAAGGGTGCCCTTCACCATGTAGGGACTAAGCTAAGGAGAAGTCAAGAAGAATGTGTAATGTGCCACATGGTACATCATAGAGGTCATTTAACACTACAAATAGGGGGCCTTCAACATGTAGGGACTAAGCTAAGGAACCAACTTTCTCCATTCCAAACAACATTTCTTGCTCTCAAATATGCCAAACAGATATAGTGAATCTTGTCACATAAGTTATAGAATATGCAATATACCAAAAAAGGCAATGAAACACAATAGATAAGATTGGGTGCCTTAGCTACGTGCAACCTGCATAGGCCCAAACCATTATGAAGGCCCTGGTCCAATGATGCACAAGATACTCAAAGATCTCATCCTCGTCATCCTCGTGTGAGCGGAACTCAAAACCCTAGTTCTTTCACTTCTTTCCCCTTTCCTTGGTCGGCGGCGGCTTTGTTGTGTTCATGGCGGATGATAGCGTATCCATGCCTTGTGGGCACCGCGACTTCACCCCGCGGCCCGTCCTGCATGCCTCCGTGGGATCAGATTCTTACGGAGTCTCCTCCATGGTGAAGGATTGTGGTAAGAAGCTCTCAGGCTAAACCTTTCATCGACGTCAACGAGGCAAAGCGATTGGCCCAGGAGGAGGAGCGGATGCAGTTTCTGCGGCAGATGGCACGGAAGAAGAAACAAAATGATCGGCAGCGGATACTGGAAGATACCGTCCTCGACTTCGATCCCAAGCAAGGGGGCGAGTACTACACCAGATTTACCTTCGCCGACCTCACAAAATTCGATCTCGACAAGGAGTGTAAGTCCATCCCCGTCGATTCAATTCTAATTAGATCAATTCCTATGCTCTGCCCTACCTTGCCCTGACCTTTAGTCATATCTACTGCATTGCTTACATGATCAGAGTATTTCTATGTTAATTTGTGCTTTCAAATATTTTTTGTTTGTCTATTCGAGTAGAGGTCGTCACTGTCCGAATTTCTGTCTCTTGAATTCGAAATTGCAATTGTGCTTCACCGTTTATACTATCTTGAACTATTAGTTTGAATCTTATATGACTAAAGGATTCTGGTAACAGACTCTCCTCCGTGTTCAATTCTGATCAGATCAATTCCCCTGCTCTGCCCTACCCTGCCCTGACCTTTAGTCATACCTACGGCATTGCCGTCCATGAACAATTACAAAATTTTACATGATCAGAGTATTATACTCCATTCTATGTTAATTTGTGCTTTCAAATATGTTTTGTTGGTCTATTCGAGCGGAGGTCATCACTGTCTGAGTTTTTGTCTTCGATTGGCAAGTGCATGTGTACTTCAACATTTATACTATCTTGACCTGTTAGCTTTTGAGTCTTATTTGTATAGAGCCTATCTTGATTCTTTTATCTTACTTTTCACACCACAGTGCCCTTGGTCCGATGAGATTTACTGATGCTGTCTACAAAAATAAGGACGACTATGAGCTATGTGAGGGAATAAACTTCTTCTCTGTGAGAATAACCACTTCGGATGTTGGCTTCCCCATCAATGTGTATGGCACTGCCATTGCCAGAGACAGTCTGGACAAGAGGTGTGTTTATCTCTTCAGCCGTGAGAGAGATCAATGCCAACTCATCAACTCTTAGGTATGTACATTGGGCTGATTGGCAACACTGTTCCTCTAAATGAAGAACTGCTTGTATTTATTAGGTGTGAGTTAGACAAGGATTGCAAAATTACACTGGCCTGCAATTGATTTCTATTGATCAACAAAGTAATCGCTAGTGGTTAGTTGGTCAATTACCTATGTGATATTCATCCTCGTTTCTTGTTCTGAATTTATTTTTGGTGCTGAAAGTTGGAAATTTATACGCTACTGATCAATAATCCCTAGACTATTAGACAATCTGTATAGTTTCCAAATGTTACTAAATTGCAAATGTTCAGTATGAAGGGTAAACTTGTGATATGTTAGTTTTAAGTCTTTTTGGTAGTCACAATTAGCATCCCAAGGTCCATGAGCAACTGGTACAGAGAACTAGGTGATGCAATATCCTTTGTCTTATGGGATTCCGCTAAATGTTACACACTGATCCAATTGTTGTCCAATAGAAGTACATTGCTATTTCTATGGTGTGGTGTGGATATTGTATGGAACAGAATAAACCTAAAGTTAAACATTTTTTACAACAATTTATGTGAACATAAGTATGTATAATATATTAATGAAACTATATTTGAACCCTTTGGCATAATATTTGTTTCTTATATTAGGGAAATTATTTATCACATTTTATTATATCGACATCATGCTTAATGGTACAACCATATGAACCTACAGCATCGTGATACCACATGCAAACTGATCATTAACTGTTTCATCTATGGTAGTAGTTTACATATGCTGGTTGACTGTAATCATTCTATTTTGATTACGACATTGTATTCAGAGAAATATAACATAACACTAACATATAATGTAAACTTTTTCGTAGGATGAATCTTTGATCTTGACAGGTCCAAAACGAGGACTCGCATTGATAGGTCCAAACTATGTTGAGATTGATTTGAAGATTAAGGATCATCAAGGGCAGGACAAAGAACTCAGTAAAGGAAAGTTATCTATCAATGGCATAGAGCGTCGACGGTTGAAGCAATGTGTGCTTGAAAGTGACTCTCTTGCTACCAGGCTTAGTACTGTGGATGTGCTGTATGGAGTTGTGAAAGATGCAGTGGAGTGTACTATTACAATTGATGTTCTACAAGGAGACTTTAACGGAAAAATCACTGCCCAGACCACCAGCATCCTAAATAGCCTTGTGCTTTTATGATAGTCAAGTGGTTGGTGGCTTGACTGGTGATGTTATTGGAGTTATCAAGCTTATACGGTCCATCATATGCATCTGTGTGAAAGGATATCCTAAGGATTGTTGTCCAAACAACTGATGTTAAGTCTAAACATACCATTGAATTTACTCTCAAGATCAACGGTAGAGAAGAAGAAGATATAATTGTTGGCGTCACTACGATGCATGTAAAGGTAGCTTGGTCAATAATGGACTTTTGAGTAATCTCTTGGGTTGACTCATTGTTGAGGCTTGCTGACGCGAATTATACGGCTTGGTGTAACTATGTTAGAGTAGTGCAACATAAAATTTTCCTCATAGACGATTCCTTATGCTCGTCGTTGGTATCAGCCTTGTCTTGACATCAGCATCTCTCTTGTCTTGGCCGAAATCTCTCTTATGAGAGATGAAGTGCAAAAATTGTAAAACAAAATTACCAAGTGCAACATAACAAATGAACCAAATGCAAAGCAAAGTGAAGAGGAGGGAAACCTTGGCCTTGCCCCATTGGAGCTCGGTCAAATCTAGATCAGGGAGTTCTTTGCACATCGGCCTCGGTTGGCAGACCTTCTCCGCACAAATGGTCATCGGACGTCTACCTCCATGCACTGCACTCGGCTGCCTCCTCACACCACGGTAGACCGGTGAGCTACGTGTCGCCCCCACGCGGCAGTGGCAAATCTAGTACCGGAGAAGGGGGAAGTGGTCATGACTCCCCTAACAACAACAACAACAACAATGACAACGACGTAGGTGCTCTTCTCTCTCGGGTCTCCTGCCACTCTTGTAGCCCGATCGTCGCAGGCGATGTCTACTGCAAAGAGGAGGAGAAGGGTTGGCGAATGGGAAGGAGGGTGGCTTGAGGAGATGCAGTGGCCGGGGGTAGCGGCAGACGGGTAGGGGGACACAGTGGCCGGAGGTGGTGGTGGACGTGGACAGTTGGTCGTATGATGGATGGGGGTGGCGATGGAAAGGAGGGGGCACAGTAGCTAGAGGTTACAACGGATGGGGATAGAGTCATGCGGTGGTGGATGGTGTAGCGTTGAATAAGAAGGGGAACACAATATATTTGTGTGTGGACCAGGAGGTAGGCGGGGTGATTAGGTGTAGAATTTTTCTTTTCTTTTTATTTTTTCATTACACATTTGCTATTCACAACGAAGGCGCCAACGCAAAACCATATGTGTGTACGCTATTTTTCCTTCGTGTAACATTTGAATCTAACGGGATAAATGGTTTTCCTTTATGCGTAACAATCCTACCGATAGGTCAATGCTGTTTTCCAAATATTGTCTCCACGTCCCAAATGGCATGGCATCTACGCAATTATATCCGGATCCTATCGGACTCTGTTGTAACGCTGTCAGTAGTGCCATCACGGCTCACGTGTTACCATCAGCTAGTAGTACCTACCAGACGATTTGCTGTCAGTCTGCCACGTAGATAGAGGCTCAAAAGGGGCAATCCACCACGCCAACGACGCTGAAAACAGTCGTACACTCCAGCGATGCTGGCCTCAGCCTGCCTATCCGCTTCCTTCTTCTCCTCCCCCTCCACCGCCGCCACACCAAACGGATTCCTCGTCCCCTCCGGCAACCCCGGCGGCCGCCGTCCACCGCGGCGGCACATGTCAGGTACGCACGCACATCTATCCAATCGCAGCACGAAAAGACCCAAATCTTGCACGAATTCTCAGCGCGCATCTCGCAGAATATGCTCTCCTCGGTCCATTTGCAGTCGCAGCAACACATTAAAAGTCGTCGTCTTCAACCTTAATCTATCCTTTTAAGCTAATGATGTGCAACCAGGTTCTTCTGCCGCGTACGTACCAGCAGGTGGGCTCGTCCTCCACGCCAGGCTGGGCGGTGGCAATGGTGACCGCGACCTCGGAGCAGCTGACGTTCACCACCTCCCATCCTCCTCGCGGCGACACGCGTAAGCAGCTGCGCACAAAATTCCTCCTCCGCACGCTACTGCTCATGTGCTGATGTGCAAGATAACCCGCGTGGTGGGCTGGTGGCCGCGCTGACCTGCTTCCTCTACTACCTCGTCGCGGTCGTGGCCGCCGGCCCCGCCAAAAGCCTGCTCGGCGTCGCCAGGGCCGCCTTCGCGCTCACCGCCAACGCGCCATGCCTCCGGTACATGAACGAGGCCGCCGCGCGCGGGCGCAGCAGCTTCACCGGCACGCTGATCTGCGGCGACCTCCTGGTCGGCGCCATGGCGCACTCGTGGAGGGCCTCACGTCGCTCTTGTTCCTCTGCGCCCGCGCCGACGAGTACGTCCGGCCGCCGCCCAGCCCGCTCGTTCTCCTCGCGCATGACAAGCCGGCGTCACATCCTCAGCAGGTACACATCTCAGTCGTCGGGTCCGACGGCATGCGCGTCTCGTGGGTGACCGACGACCGGAGCGCGCCGTCGGTGGTGGAGTACGGCACGTCTCCGGGGAAGTACACGGCGTCCGCGATGGGCGACCACACCACGTACCGCTACTTCTTCTACAAGTCCGGCGCGATCCACCACGTGACCATCGGCCCACTTGAGCCAAGCACGACCTACTACTACCGGTGCGGGCGGTCCGGCGACGAGTTCAGCCTGCGGACGCCTCCGTCCACCCTGCCCATCGAGTTCGTCGTCGTCGTCGACCTCGGCCAGACGGGGTGGACGGCGTCGACGCTGTCGCACATCGGCAGCGCCGACTACGACATGCTGCTCCTGCCAGGCGACCTGTCGTACGCGGACACGCAGCAGCCGCTGTGGGACTCGTGGGGCCGCCTCGTGCAGCCGCTGGCGAGCGCGCGGCCGTGGATGGTGACGGAGGGCAACCACGAGACGAGGCGGAGGCCCTGCCGATCCCCGTGGTGGAGGAGCTCGTCCCGCCGTTCGTCGCCTACAACACGCGGTGGCGGATGCCGTACGACCACAGCGGGTCGGCGTCCAACCTCTACTACTCGTTCGACGCGGCGGGCGGCGCGGCGCACGTCGTCATGCTGGGCTCGTACGCGGTGTTCGGGGAAGGGTCGGAGCAGCACCGGTGGCTGGAAAAGGGACCTGGCGCGCGTCGACCGCCGGCGCACGCCGTGGCTGCTGGTGCTGCTGCACGCGCCCTGGTACAACACGAACCAGGCGCACCAGGGCGAGGGCGAGCGGATGCGCGCCGCCAGGGAGAGACTGCTCTATGAGGCCCGCGTCGACGTCGTCTTCGCCGGACACGTCCACGCGTACGAGCGATTTGTAAGTAGTGCACTGTGTACGTTCTAGGTAGTTGTTTCTGTTTCTGTTTTAAGCCCATTATTCCTGAACAAGAAGTGAACACGTTTCCATTTTTTTTGCTGACGAGTGATGATCAGACGAGGATCTACGACAACGAGGCCGACAGCCGGGGCCCGATGTACATCACCATTGGCGACGGGGGCAACAGGGAAGGCCTTGCTCTCAAGTATGCATGTCACTGGCTAGCACCGTATATGCATAGAGTCAATTAGAATCTGATGATGCTGACTCAGTTCTTGTGTGTGATTGTCGATGTTGGTCTGAAGGTTCATCAAGGACCACAAGTCGGCACACCTGTCGGAGTTTCGGGAGGCGAGCTTCGGGCACGTCCAGCTGAGGATCGTCAACGAGACGAGCGCCGTGTGGACGTGGCACCGCAACGACGACACGTTCGCCACCGTTCGCGACGAGGTCTGGCTGGAGAGCTTGGCCGCTGCAAATCCAGGCCTGGCACCACCCACCGGTCGTGACATTGATATGAGCTCTAGAATGCTGCAGGATTAGGAGTGGAAAAATGGTATACCCACAACATTTCTTGGTTGTTACTTCGTCATGCCTTTTTATTGTTGACTATCAATATCTAAATGTTACTATAGATTGACAAGGTAAGGTTAGTATAGTGGATTTATTATTATGGGACATGGGAAATATATTTGCAGTATAATATGTAACTCTTGGCAATTACTAAGCTGATATATTCTTATGTGTACGTATATTATTAGTTAAATCATCGTATGAAAGACAGCCAATTTTCAAATAGACATAAATTTCAAATCAGGAGAAGCAGGCGTTGCTATAGCACATTATTTTTAACGTGTTTATTTCAATCGATTTGTACCTTGATGAGATTTCAATAAAGAGGAAAGGTATATTTTGGCATAAAGTGGTGCAGGTAATTCTCTACTTCGACCCGATTCGAATCTGAATCTTGAGAATATCGAGAAGAGTTTTTAATATCCATGTGGATATGGAAAATATGAATAGGATTGTGTGAGGATGCGAAGCATGATATCCATGGAATCGGCAAAAATTCGGCAGATACAGATTATCTGTAAATTTTATATATGGACATTATTCGATATTTAAAATAGGATATCCAATGGTTTCTCTCCCTAGACTAAAAACCAAAAGAATTCATAATAAAGAAAAGTTTGTTACTTGATTTGTTTTTTGATGTGGTTGTTTTATTTGTTAAATTTTGAATTGGCGTGATCTGAGAGCGACAAAATGGACTCCAATGCAATATTTTTGTGTACTAGTTGTTGCCTTTTTACTAAATTAATTCTTGACAAGCATAATTTTGTATATATGCATATATTACTTGACTATTTAAATCCATCTCCAATCTGACTCTCTCCATCTCTCTACTATTTCTTACATCCGAAAAAAGTCACACCTGCATCCGCATCCGCGTAGTGTCCTATGTGTTGGGTTTGGCAAATCTTCCTTTGTGCATAGATTCCATTTCTTAGCATACCTCCATGATGAACACTATATTCACATCTTCACATTCATATATAGACTCTAGAGGATAGCTGAATCACACCTCTTAATCAAGTACCTATTCAGTAATCTACTATTGCTTAATAACTACAAAAATTATGAATTCTAGGTGGCAATCTTTATCTACCAAAATTTTGGGATGTAATAAACTAGGATCAATCCCTTAAAACTAATTACAATACACAAAGATTGGAAAGAATAAGTACCATTTGAACTAAAAATCTAAGCAGTGGCATCACAGTCATCACTCACCAGTTACGAAAATAGTTTCAACTGTCGCAACAAGCTCAAACCAAAGACTGGTCACTGAATTTGAGACAATTCTCCTAAAAATCAACCTCATCAGTCCCAATTTCAGGCTTTAGCTATTGTAGATTTGTAATCCCTTTTATATAGAACTTAAAATACCCTCATTGGATAGCTAGACTAGAAGAATCAAACCATTAGACCTCCTAAGATGACCCAAATGAAAGATTCAGTGGCGACATAAACAAAAACATGGCGGTGCTCGTGCTCGGTGCAATCCTCAAGGACAAAAAAGAAATGGCACTATATTAGCAAATAAAAGACAAAAAAAATGCAGAAGAGAACCACTGATTGGAGCAAATCTGACCTGACGTACACAGCATCAGAGTGCTCGAGCGGCAAGTAGTTCGACAGCTTTTTCCCTGTTGGCTCTGTTGGAATTGGAAGGAGAACGAAGAAGCGAAGAGAGACAGAAAACGAGGTAGAGAAGTAGAGACCAAAGACAGAGAAGAGCGCGAGAATGGCGTCGTCGTCGCCGGTCCGCGTGGTGTCAAGGCACATCGTGAAGCCACCGCCACGGCCACGCGAGTGCATCCCGCTCACGTCGTGGGATGTCGCCATGCTGTTGGGCAACTACATCCAGAAGGGTCTCCTCTTCGCGCGGGCACCGTTCCCGACGGCCGAGCTCGTCGACCACCTCCAGGCCACCCTCGCCGACGCGCTTGCCACCTACTACCCCGTGGCCGGGCGCTTCGTCACGGAGCAGCACCGAGATGACCACGGAGACGTCGTCGGCAGCACGGTGTCCATCGACTGCGGTGGCCAGGGCGTCGAGATCCACCACGCCGTCGCCGACGGCATCGGCGAAGCTGACGTCATACCTCCTGACGCCGACATCCCATTCGTCGTGCAGTCTCTGTTCCCGCTCAACGGCGCCATCAACTACGACGACCACGAGCTCCCGCTCTTCGTCGTCCAGGTCACGGAGGACGGAGCTCGTCGACGGCGTCTTTCTCGGGTTCGCGTGCAACCACTCGCTCTGCGACGGCACTGGTTTCTGGAACTTCCTCAACGCGTGGGCGGAGATCGCGCGCACTAGGTTCGCGCCCGCGGAAGCCCCACCCGCGGAGCCGGCGTCTCGGCCGCCGCCCTTGTTCGAACGCTGGTCGTCCGACGGCTGTGCAGCGTCGCCGACCGTGCTCCCGTACGCCGACCTGTCGGTGCTCGGCAAGAGGCCGACGCCAACGCCGACGCCGATGCGCGAGCGGATGCTGCACTTCCCGGAGGAGTCCCTGGCGCGGCTGCCTTGACCAGATTCCAGGCGTTGACCTCCCTTGTATGGCGCTCCATCACCCGCGCGCGGCGCCTGGAGCCGGACCAGCAGACGGTGTGCTTCGCGGCCGCCGACAACCGTGGGCGTCTCCGGCCTCTTGTTCCGGCGGAGTACTTCGGCAACTGCATCAAGCTCGTCTCAACTGACGCGGTGCGCGCGTCTGAGCTTCTGTCGCGCGGGCACGGGTGGGCGGCGGCGGCGGTGGGGCTGGCGGTGGCGGTGGCGGCGCACACGGACGCAAGCATCCGTGCGCATCTGGCGGCGTCGGCGGCGAATCCGTTGCTGCGCCCTGGCCGGTTGTTCCCCGCGAACGCCGTGCTGATGGGGAGCTCGCCGCGGTTCGACATGTACGGCTGCGACTTCGGGTGGAGGAAGGCGCTGGCGGCGCGCAGCGGCAGGGCCAACAAGATGGAGGGGAAGGCGTCGCTGTACCCTGGGCGGCACGGATGCTTCGACGTGGAGGTGGTGATGCTGCCGGAGCACATGGCGGCGCTCGAGCAGGACGAGGAGCTCTGGGCCGCCGTGTCGCCGGCCACGGCCAGGGCCACGGAAGAATGAAACTTTTTTAATCCATGCGGTCCAACGTGAATACGTTGTTTAATTTAAATCACACATGCCTGCTTTTTCGTTTGTAAATTAAAATTTTGCAATTTCTGACAAATATCCCGAGATTGGGATCGACATCGACATGATCTTCATACAAACCGATCCTTGCCGCCACCCATGATCTCCGACTTCGACTCCGAGTCGAAACTGGAAAGAGGAACCGCCCCTCGTGCTCGTGCATATATAAACATGGGCAGCCCACATCCATCCACATAGCCGCACAGCCTGCCACTCCAATCGCTCACCTGGGGTTTGGCGCCGCCGCAAACACACCGCGCGTCGCGATGGCCAGCGCCGGCACGTCGTGCAGCGTCCGCCTCGAGGGAGACAACGACGCCGTACTCGAGACGGTGGCGAGGATCGGCGGCAAACTAGCGAGCGAGGAAGGCGGCGAGGCGGTGGTGGTCGAGTCGCTTCGCGAGCTGCAGGACGTGCACATGACCTTCGAGGCGCTGGAGGCCACCAAGATCGGCCACGCCGTCAACGCCCTGAGGAAGAGCGCGCCGTCGGAGGAGGCGCGCCAGCTCGCCGCCGCGCTCTACAAGGGATGGAAGGCTCTGGCCAACGAGCGGTTCAGGAGCAGTAGGGCACCGCCGCAGCAGCCAAAAGGCTGATAAGGGCATCGAGAAGGCTCCCTCGACGCCACCGCCGCCGCCGCCGGTCAACACGAAGCAGTCAGCTCGGCCCGAGGGCGAACTCGAGACGATAGCCCCGACAAGTGTCGTCGTCGAGGCGGCACCGGAGGCGAAGCTCCACCTCCACGAGGGGTTTGACAGCGCGGCAATCCTCAGGAAGCCGAAGAGCTTACGGGTGATCAACACCAACGCGCCGAGGAAGACAGAGCATCGCCGCGTGATGGTTGTCCGTCGTACGGCGGCTGCCCGGGAGCCCGCGCTGGCGTCGAACGAAGCAAGGCGAAACGGCGGAGGCTCCAAATCCAACCAGCAAGCCTACTGCCCGGCGACGGCGAGCAACCTGGGTACCAATGCTGCAGCTAAGCGTGTCTCGCCAACTGGCGCTGCGGCTGCACCCTTGACGACCGCTAAACTGCCGACTGCACCGCCGAAGCCCGTCGGTTCGTCGGGCGCTTGCAAGAGCAAAGTAGAGGTCCCCGCGGTTTTCGACGAGGCGAGGCTGGCAAGGGCCAGGATAAGGCTCCACGAGGGGTACAAGGAGGCCTCCGCAGTCAAGGAGAAGAGGAAGATCAAGGAGGTCATGGTCATTGCCGCACCGGGGAAGGCGAGGCAGCGTCCTGCTCACAATGTACGGTGCACGGCTGCCCACCGGACATGGACAAGGAAGCAAGCTCCGGTGCCTTGTCCGCCCAGGATGCCCAGGGCTTTTTGAGCAGTAGCAGCGCGCAAATAGGGTTCGGGAACTTTAGCCAAATTGCGTAGTTTCTGTCGCTTTGAGTGAGTATTCTCGTTCTGTGATCTGATCCGAAGACGCCGCCGCGCCGGAACATCGTGTGTCCATTGTTTGTTGTTGGCCTTGTCATGGTTTTGGTTGATTATAAGTTTGATCTTCGCTCTGTTGTGTAGTAGTACATTGTAATGTACCTTCGTTTAGTCATGGAGACATTTCCACGATCAAGACACCAAATCACACACCGGCTTTGTTCCACGCTATGGCCTATGAGGCTATGAGTGCCCATGCATTGCAGCACCGAAAAAAAAATCAGGTTTACCTCAATCCCAAAAAATTGAAGGTAGACGGAGGACTGCAATGGAAGTGGCTTATGTGACTGCTGCCCAAACTGACAAGCTAAACGTTACTCTGGCAAGGCGCCTGTTGTCGGAAAACCGACAGACAAGCAAGTGGGAGAAACCTGCACCGGGAGAAATCAAGCTCAATTCTGATGGAGCTTTAATTTCTTCAGCTCTAGTGGCGATGGAGGCTGGGGGTTCGTGATCAGGGACGAACCGGGAGCTGTCCTGAAGGCGGGAATTGGCCGGGAGGATCATCTGCAGGATGCGTTTCATGCCGAGCTCCTGAGTTGCGAGACCAGACTGAAAGTGGCTGCTGCTATGGGGATTGCGGCGATCATCATGGAGACTGATGCTGCGATGGTGAAGGAGGCGCTGGAGGGTGATGAGTACCGTTTATCGGCCATGGGAGGTATCTATCTATCACTGATCTCAAGCAATCGCTTGTCACTGACTTTGCAGGCTTCAGTGTTAGGGATGTTCCTTGGTCATGTAATCGCTTAGCACATGCTTTAGCTGCTTTGGGTTGCAAATTGTCTAGTGGTGCCCAATCTATTTGGGATGATGTACCTTATGAACTTGAGTCTCTGGTGTCCAGTGATTCGGCTGTGACGAGTGAGTAATATAATGAGCTTTGCATAAAAAAAAATTGGAACCGAGTTTGGTGTAAATCAAACTATCTTAAATTTTACTAAGTTTTTTTGTATAGAAATGTTACAACATTTTGATACAACATTGTTGGGTCAGTTTTTTTTTATAAATTTTATTAAATTTAAGATAATTTTACTTAGGAGTATGCTAGAATCGTATTCTTTCAGGGACAGAGGTAGTAGTTGATTAATGTCTACCAACAGACCATTAACATTAATCCCACGAAACACAGTAGAAAAAAATAAATACTAAAAGTTCTCACAGAAATTTATCACCTAAATTTACATCTAATTACCCATATATGCACTTATAAAACATGATCTTTGCCTTGTCCACCCATTGTTGGGTCAGATATGTGAAACTGAAGCCCATATAAGCCCATAATGACCCCAAGCCTTGTTTGATGATGAAGACCATATGTGAAAATGAAGCCCATATAAGTGGCTGACTTTTTTTTTCGTTTCTTTTTTTTTTCACGATATAAGGTGTGGCCGTGTGGGTGACGTTTCAAATATGTCACCTAGGCTAGAGGACACCTGATGCAACATGGAACACGCCGCTACATGGCGATGCCCTTGACCACGCCGTGCTGTGCCGCCCTAGGAGTATTTTATATTCGGAGTCTTGATTAGGTATTTTTCTGAAAGAAAGAAAAAAAAGAACTAATCATTCATGCGGGTCAGGCTGAGGGCGCATTACCCGTAGCCCATCATTTTCACAGGCCCTACGCCTGCTCCCTGCTGCCCACTTGCTTGTGTTGATATAAAGCCAAAAGTTTTGCAGTTAGCAAATCACCGAAACGGCCTGAAATGAGCTTACACTACTTCAGTTGAGAGCAGAGCAGAGAGAGGAGCCAACAACCAAAGAGGAGCGCAGACGAAGAAGATGGGAATTCTCGGAGAAGAGGTGAGCGTCGTGATGAGGCCGCTGCTGCACCTGCTGGTGGGGATGGTGCTGTACGAAGCGGCGGTGCCGGCGCTCGTCGACAAGATCACCGCCGCGCTCTGCCCCGCCGACAGCAGGTCATGCCCGGAGGCCATCTACTTAACCGGCCTTCAGTCCTCGGTATCTATCTATGACCTATCCAGCTTGCGGCGTTTCTTCCTCTGCACTCCGGCCGTGGCCCGTGGCCGTGTGATGGTCGCCAGCAACCTGCACTGCAGTTGCAAGCCGTAGATGAGATGAATGAGTGTTGTTTCATCTTCTTCTATAGTTTCTCTTTCCTCTCGCTCGGTCACACAAGGCTGAGACGACGTAGCCACGCAGGGGAGTGAGGAGGATCTTTTCAAGAGTCACCTCCCATGCTCCCCACTCGCCAGTCGCCACTAGCACAGGACCACTGCGATGCTCCGCTAGTTGGTGCTATACTAGGTGGCCCACAAGTCAACGGTGCCATCCGCGCTGGAATCCCTCATCGAGCCGGGAAAAAAAATGATCCGATTGCACCTTACTACCTACTGCAATATATATAACGTGTACCGCGGTACCGGCCAGAATCCAAGTTAGTGAAACGACACAACATATATAATGCAGTTTTCGTTTGCAAGGCAGCATGTATAGTAACTACAGTACATGCTATGAGTGATTTGGTGAAACTCTACCATCGGTGTTTCAGGATTAAGTTTCTATTACGGCATTATTATATTGGAAATAAAGTAAAAAGTTCAGGGTAAAAGCATGGTTTTCCAACCCCAACTAACACATAATAGTCTCCTTAAGTCTAAAACCACACACTTCGCAACCTTCAACAACCATGTAACAGCTCCTCCCAATTTTTTCATCTCACAGGAATGGTACTTGCAACTATGTGTGACACGTGAACCACGAGTTTATTGAACACTATTGTATGGGTGGCTTTATCCGCCTCTAGAAATAGTTTCTGAGCGGGTCCACCTCTAGAAAATCTATTATATTTTGCGACGAAAGGAATACCTTTTTTCTCTTTATGTGAATAACAATTCTCAAAAAAAAAGAATAACAAATTACATGTATAGAATTTCTAGAAAAGAAGGATAAAAACTTTTATTATATCTGTCAATTTTTTTATTTAAGGATAATAATACTTATTTTTGTGGGAGAAGTAACACATGCTGCTTATTTTTTGTTTGAGAACAGGTAGGGGCGATTTTTAAGATAATAGGATTCCCTCTAATGGGCCAGCTAGCTGATGAATATGGCCGGAAGCCTCTTCTCTCCTCTTAACTGCCTCCACCTCCATAATAATACCTTTTGGTAATTTGCACCATCTTGTTTTCTGCTCGTTATGTATCTCTCCTTCAGTGTGTAGGCCATACCATTCACTCTAAACATGGTACGGTTTTTGTTTATGCAACATACACCATTTGCACTAAATACTTTTTTTTTGTTTATGCATGCAGCTGTGCTTGCATGTAATAATTCAAGGACTGTTGTGTATGTCTTCCTTATTCTGCGCACTCTTTCATTCTTGATTGGCCAAGGAACATTGTTCATCATTTTAGTTGCATACACGGTTAGAATTACAGCAATTTTCTCATCTTTGTAGCAAAATGTGTTGCATGTCACTGGTTAAACTAATATTAAAAGCCACTTGGTTAAGGCGAGAGACGCCCCTACCTAGATCTAAGAGAGAGTATTATATCCAATCCTCAAGATAGTTACTTAGGGGCTGTTTGTTGAGGAGTCACACCATTATAGATAATAAGGTGGTGGTGCACCATGAGTCCAACGAACTAAATTTGGCAAAATGACTCTAATTGTTAACTTGTGAAAAATGAGGTGGAGATGAATCAACTCAATATGTCCCACAAACTAAGTAGAAAGGTGAAGAGCGAGAAGAGGATTTTAATGACATGCAAGCACCTGGCTTCAAGCCCATGTTAACCACACCTCTTTATTGGAGGCTTTACCAACCATGCTATCGCTCGGTTCACTCATGTATTTGCTACATGCATGTACATGATTTTATACAACAGGTCAACAACACCAACAATTTTTTTTGATTGCTCATTGTTGTATCTAGTGTGTGTGACTAGTCAATACTTGAATTACCCTATGGTTCAATAGTTCATTTAGATGTTATTTATTTTATTTTTAGTTATATTATTCAAAGTTGTAAATAAGAACCCCAAAGCTATCATTTACTAGCATTAGAAACAACATTGATATCATAGGCGGATGTGGTTGAGCTGTCAAAGCGAGCAACTGCAATTGGCTTCATAACATGAATTATTTCTGCCTCAAGTGCTTTGGGGCATGTTTTCTCAAGGTTCCTACCCAAGAATTGGATTTTTCAGGTATCATTATTAATTGAAATAATATGTGGTTGCATCAACATTGTTGATTATTTAGTAATACAAGTAGTAAAACATGGTTTCGCAGGTGTCCGTTGTTTTGTTGATATGTTCGGTTCTCTATATGAAAGTATATCTTGTGGAGACACATCCAAGAGTTCCAACATCTTCATCTTATCGGCATTCATCATTGCCATCTTTGGTTACCAGGGGTTGCACAACAGCGTTGGGAATCCATCGAAGCAAACATTACTCTATTCAAAAATAGGTAATCTTCTAGAAATCAGTCAACTAAGGGATATTTAAAGACTCATGTAAATTCTAAAGCATTTAATTATCCTTCCTATTTCTTGTGAAGAAAGGGAATTGACACATTTGCATTTGCATTTCTGTCAACATAAATAGGATTGTCGCAATGTCACTAGTTAAAACTTAGGGTATTTTGCTTATGCAGTCTTTACCAATAAATTAAGAATGCATAAAATTTCATATGAGTACAAAGATATATCATGAAGGTTTGTTGTCAGGATTTACGTGAAACATTTTCCTTCATTGTTGAAGGTACTAAAGGAATAAATAGTATAATTGCCTCATGGATTAAAGAGAGTTAATACAATTCTACTTCCCATGTATGGAAACAATGATGCCCCTGACAAGCAAGTTTTGAAGTTAGCTACAATAGCTAATATAATTCTTCATGAATTTTCTTGTGTTGTTTTGTTTGTAGTGAATCACTTAGGCGAATAGTATATGTTGACTTCTTCAATAAATTGGGCATGAGTGGAATTATTGATGTTCGATTGGTAATAACTTCTATCACTTGTACTATATGATATGATGTTTGAAATTATGTGGCTTGAATTACAGACAAATCTAAAGATTGTTTATCATTTATATTACCTCACTTTTGCCAGTATTACTTGAAGTATGTATTTGGCTTTGACAAGAATCAATTTTTAGAAATTTTGATGGTGGTAGACATTGGTTCCATCTTTTCTCAGGTGCTACATTAAAAGTCTTCAATCACTTCAATTAATTAAGATCCATATATTTGCAAGTGTTTGTCGTTTGTGTCAGATTGATTATTATTATATTTTGTGACAATGTTACTGAAATTATAGATTTTGGTCCTTCCCGTTGTGAGCCACATTATTGGTGAAAAAGGAATCATATGCGTCTCAATCTTGGCATCCATTGCTTATGTGAGTTATTGCGCCGAGACATTTTTTATATGTTTTCACTAATCTCAGCTAAATTTTTACAAACTTTGGTATATTGATGTAAGGAATCTTTTTTTTTCAGGCTTTGCTTTATGTTTTTGCATGGGCTTGGTGGGTATGTATTTAAGCACACACTTGCTTCAAGCAAGTGCAATTCTAAGCAAAATTATGCACACAGATCAGGGTTTAGTAGGTACAACTATGATAGTTTCCTGCATTTTCCTTGTACCTATATTGCAGGTTCCTTACTTTAGCTCTTTATTGGGTGTCATCTTTGTGATGGCCAGACCAGCTGTAAGTCAATCCTATATATCTATCCGCTAATAACTGTAACATCAAATTTCCATAGTTTGCAATTACTATATAAGAGAGGCAGTTAACCACGAACTGCTTTTTTTCCTTAGAAACAAACTCTATGTGATATTTGATTAAATATGAATTTACTATCATGAGACGTATACAGATCCATGCAATCGTTTTGAGGGCAGTAATGTCAACTGACCAGGTATACATATAGACACCACCGGGTCTTGGGCCTGTTTGGCAGGACTGAAAAACACTGTTCCGGCTGATTGTTGTGAGAGAAAAATACTGTTCTGGCAGGACATGAACAGTGATTTCGTGAGAGAAAAAACAAGCCAGCCGGCCGGCTTAAAGCCAGCCGAACAAGCTCCTTGGTTCTATCTGCAAATCAATCCTGAAAACTTTGTCTAATTTATTTATTTACTTCCATAGGGGAAGGCACAAGGTTTCATTGCGACTGTACAATCTGTAGCTATATTGCTAGCACCTCTGTTTATGAACCCACTAACCTGTGAGCAATCATTTCTCTTGTACCAATTAGGCAATTTCCTATAATGCACATGGACCCTGACCCTGTACACTGATTCCTCTTATTTTGAAGCCATTCTATCCTGCACCTCTGTTTCAGCTTCCTTATTTCAGAAGAAGCCCCTTTCAATTGCAAAGGTTTCAGTTTCCTTGTGGCTAGTTTTGTCTTGGTTAGTCTCTTTCCTTATCTTGATATGGTAGCCATGTAGCAATGAAGGATACATATAGAAATAGAATGTTAACTAAGAGATGTATTGTGATGCTAATTTTTTTTTTTGCAGGCAACGTCTTTATGCTTTGCTTGGGACAAATGCACAGAAGTTCCAAGTTCAGACGAGCGTAATGAGGAAGCACTACAAGCACCACTACTGACTTAGAATGTACCAAAATACTCTGCAGGTTACTAGAAAAAATTTTGTGACATTTGTATCGTCCCTTTAGTTTTGTAGTTCTCTCTATGTTACTGCCGTCAGCACCATTGGTACTGTAATGACTAATGACAGAGTAGAGTTGCCACTGTCCGTGGCAAGGTTGGTCACTGATGAGCTTGTTATGTGCAAAGCCAACTACCAGTCGTTGCACCGATGACTTGTAGGACACATGCAGACGACGATCGGCCAAATTCATGCTCTTTGTCTAAACATTATATATTTAAAATCAGATGGAGTATTACTTTACATAGGCCTTGACATTAGGGTCATGAGGGAGGCCTTTTTGTCCATTTGGAAAGTTTTCTTGACACACAATTGAGCCTTCTTCCACCTCTCTCTCTCTCACACACACACTTCACTTGGTGCTGCCCCTGTTCTCATATTAACTACCTGCTTGAGTTTTGTTTTCAATAATTTCCAGAGTCTGAAAGCTACGCAGGTACTACGCGATCATGACTGCAACAGGAGAACACAGTAGGACTAAAAAGAGCCAGCCATGCCAAGAGGGCCCAAATAATAAACAAGCAAAATAAGTATCCGTATAAGGAGATGCGATATTTGATTGCGCGCAAACAACGCGACGATATGAGATGCGTATTCTACTATTCTTTGATCCGATATTTCTGGCCTATCATTTTCACAGCTCACTTCACCTTATCATTTTCTCTCCTTTTATAAAACTTTTTAAAGTGAAGCTGATATGATGGTGCCTGACACGAAGTGCTCTCACAGCCGGTTGCCTACCGGCTTGCAAGTTGCAATTGCAACCAACAGGCAACAGCCAAGAAGAGGCCGGGCGGCCGGCCGGAGTGGAAGGAGATGAGAGCTTTTGGAGGCGGCGAGGTGGCGATGAGGCCGCCGGTGTTGCACCTGATCGTGGGACTGGTGCTCTACCTGGTCGCCGATGCGATGACCGTGCCGGCTCTCGTCGACAAGGTCACCGCTGTGCTCTGCACCGCCGCCGACGGCAGATCGTGCCCGGAGGCCATCTACCTCACCGGCTTGGAGTCCTCGGTATGTGCTTAAATTTCCGAATTCCAAATTATCGATCTCATGTCCAAAGTAGTCATGTAGGCTGCAGTAGATTTCCAAATTCCAGGATGGTTTCTTCTTGCCATTTTCTGTGCTACGATTGGTGTCCAAGGTAGTGGATGATCTCTGTTTCTGTTTCTCTTCTTTTGACTTTTGAGATGTGGACCTCTGTTTCTGGGCATCGGGCTCTGGGGCCAGCAGCCCAGCACCATTTTTCTGGACATGGTCACCGTAGGTTTCCGGCCGTTCCGTCAGAAAATTTAGACGAATCTGAACTGCACATCTCAAATTGGAAGGCTACAAACTCAGATGTTGGAGGCCCCTTGGGTGTTGTATAAACATGTACCTTAATTTTCGTTTCTACAAGGACAAAGCACTTGCACGGAGTTTCAACAAGACAAATTCAAGTTCACAAATCACAACTTCAGAAGGTAATTGTGGAGATGTAGAAATCATGCGATGTTCAGTTAGTACTATGTGCTGTTGAGCACCTTGCCCACCAATCCAAGTGAAGAGATACTCCATCATTTTGTTGAAGTTATGACCACCAAACCAAAAAAACACCATTATTAGTGATGTCACACCCAGCCACAAAGGGCGGTGTAGACCTACAAGAGACTTTGGGTGCAACTGGACATTTGTATGCTAGGCAAAACTTTTTCTAACTTCGATGTTGATGATCTTTGACTCTCTGGAAAGTTTGTTACGAGTTCTATGAGATTTATTGAAATTCATCCCATTTGACCACGTCAAAATTTAAGGGATAAATAATCCAATTTTGCTTCGGTGGCTTTACCCTTGATGTGTCCATGAAACCTAACCTTTCACATTATTCTTAGCAAAAACATGTTCATCCAACTTACTATATTTCCATTAATCACAAAATAAGATATGTGCCCCTAAATGGTGGCATTTTCATTAAGGCAGTGAATACTTGTCTGATCATCTTTTGCTCAAATGCAGGTAGCAGGGATTTTCAGAATTATAGGATTTCCTTTCATAGGCCAGCTAGCCGATGAATATGGCCGGAAGCCTCTCCTCCTCCTCACTGCCTTCACCACCATAATCCCTTTTGGTATTTTTGTCTTTGTCCTGTATCCTGCCCTCAATGTGTGGGTTTAATTTTTACTCACTAGGCCATAGTACCATACCATACCATTCACGCTAGATACTACCTGTATGGTTTGAGTATTACTTAGTCTATTCGTTGCATGTTTGAATCCTTCTGTTATACTTGATTGTCAGTTTTATATTACACTATTTGCACTGGATACTAATTATTAATTGCGTTTTTATGCATGTAGCTGTGCTTGCGTGGAATAATTCAAGGACTGCTGTATATGTCTACCTTATTCTCCGTTGTACCTTTTCATTCTTGATTGGTGAAGGAACCATATTGTTCCTTACGGTTGCATATACGGTGAGAACTATTGCAATTTTCTTGTCTGTGTGGGAACAAACTGCATTGTTGTGCATCATCATGTTTTTCAAGGGCATTCACTAGCTATGTTATTTCACAAATGAACTCTTCATATCATGCTGACTACATGGAACAAATTAGTTGACAACATCTCTCATGACAAATAACCGCTCAAACTAAATATTTACTTTTATTCTGAAATGAGTTTATAAGAAGTGGGCCTAGCTCAACTAGTTGGTGTGGGGATGTGCGGTCATGCATTCCAGCATAGGTTTGAGTCTTATTGAACTCAAAATTTGGTTCCTATTTATTTCTTAAAAATGAAAAACCTTCTAGTTCCACCTAGCTTGGTCTCATCTTTTCTAAAAAAAATAAGTTTGGAAGATTATATAATATCCCACAGAATAACTCCATGGTTCCACAATATTCCATTGATGCTAGGCTGACATCTAGGCCTAGATCCCAAGATCCCACATGTCATCCTAACATGAAGTGATATTCAGCGGTATGTAGTAGATTTATACAGTAAGCTTCCAAAGTTTATCATTCATTTATTTGTATTAGAGCACAACAAAATTGTAGGCTGCTTCACTGGCATTCACTACTACATAAACCACTTTTTTCGGACATTCAACCTGGCTGTGTATTTACGAGCCACTCGTAGCTTTGGAAGGTTCTCCTTATGTAAACCATCTCTGAAAATGAAATGAATTCCAGAATCCAGAGATGGTCCACATATAGGTACCTCATGTGGAAATGACATTTCATATGTAGTTCCTTATGTGAGCCATCTTTAGAAATTGTTCCACTTCCCAAACATTTTGTCATTTTGTATATTTTTAATTAATTGAGTTGAACAAAGGGATGAATCGCCAAACTCAAGTTAACTAAAAGAAAAGATAAAAAAGACACATTGTTAGAGGAAATGGAACCAGAGGTGGTTCACATAAGGAACCTCTGACTACATGTGAGTATGTGACAACCATTTCTTCACAAGGTTGAAAAAGTAAAGCTTATCCTATTCTGCGTAGTAACAATTCTATGGTTGGATAGTAAGAAGGGATCACCCAAGGGGGAAGGTCATGCATTTCAATATCCTAGTAACCTCACGCGGGCATATTTTGCACAAAAAAATGTGTGTCGCACAACCGTGCTATTGGCCATTAGGGTCAGCCAAGGCGCAGACCTTTTTTTTCATTTTTTTTACTTTTTTATTACAGGATTTTATAGTTGGTTTTTCACTTTTCCCCTTTGGAAATCCACTGATTTCTACAAGCCTTAGGTTACAGACGGTTGGATATATATGATTATTCAAAGGGGTTACCAATTGCCTGTACAATTTTTTTTTTGTAGTAGTGATTGTTTCAGGCATTTTGAAAATAATTAATATAATAAAGTGGAACTTTTCTTATGGTACATTTATTTATCGTTTTGTGACAATGAACATATAGTGTTTCTGCTATCATAGGGAGATGTGATTGAGCCATCAAAGAGGGTGGCTGCGTTTGGCATCTTGACTGGAATTGTCTCCGGTTCAAATGCTCTGGGGGATATGTTTTCAAGGTTTCTGCCCGAGAAGTGGATTTTTCAGGTATTGCAAGTTGAAATACAAACTATTTGTAGTTGCCTCAGCATTATCGACTATCTGTAAGCTAACACACAAGCTCTATACCATGATCTTTTAGGTGTCCGTTATTTTGTTGACATTTTCCGTCCTCTACATGAAAATATATCTCATTGAGACAGTTCAAAGGGCTCCTTCTTCACCTTGTCAGCACATGTACATGCCGTTGTCATCTTTGATTGTAAGTTTACCGAAACAGCGTTGGGAATCTATCAAGGAGAACATTAACATATTTAAAAACAGGTAAACCTTTACATATATACATCACTTAGCTAGCTAGGTTAAAGAGTTAAAGGACCAAGAGATTCGTAAAATTTCTTGTAATATCCTAAAGCAAGGGCTCGCCCTATTTATTGTGGAATTATGTGGATGATACACTATGCATGACAAAAAAATCATGATAACAGAAAAATACTTCTAAATACAAATTTGATTACATTATTTTTGTAGAAAAACTACAATTGTTTGTAAATAAGCTGTCAAAGGTCACTAATCTTGAACCTTGAAAATACATAAGCACCTTATATAAAGACATGGAGGGAGTACTTGTCAAGGGCCGTATGTGGAATGGTGGCCGGACCTCGACTACGGAGCTCGTAGTCGCGCTCCGTGGTACTTCGGCGGGGTTATGCCCCCTCGCCGCTCACACTCGTCGGGTTATACCCCCTGACTCGTGGCTTAGGAGAAGGAGGAGGAAGATTAGATGTAAACTCTTTCTTGATTGCAATTGTCCTCTCGTACATGCATATATGGCCGATGGCCCAGCTAAACATGGCAACAAACTAAAGGAAACAACTCCTTAATTCTAGGATCTCATAACAGAAACTATCCTAACCTCCCATCCTAGCCACTGGTGGTGACCGCGTCCTGCTCAGCCTGGGCGCCGTTGACGCGCTCTGCAGCCCGCTCCTGGGCTCGGCGTACATCTCGGGCCCTCCTGCGCCTTGTGTATGTACGACCGAACATGACATCTCCCTCCCCGCCGAGAGTCAGCTCGTCCTCGAGCTGGAACGAAGGGTACTTGGCGCGGAATGCTGCAGTCTCTTCCCATGTCGCGGATGCAGCTGAGGCCCCCTTCCACTGGACCAGGACCTGGGGCACGCCGTTTGCAAAACGGTATCGCACCGCCCGCTCAGGTTCTGGGTCGATGGCGCCGTGCCGAAGAGGAGGTAGTGGTGGAACGGCGTCCGGCGGCGGTCCTTGGAACTTCTTGAGGACGCCCACATGGAAGACATTGTGAATGCGGGCGCCGGCTGGCAAGTCGAGGCGGACGGCGACCTCATTGATCAGCTCGACGACGCGGTATGGCCCGAAGTACCTGGGCTTCAACTTGCCGGTGGATGCTTGGGGCAGTGAGGACGCGGCGCGGTGATGAAGGCGCAGCAAAGCCCAGTCACCGACCGCGTAGCTGACTTGGCGATGCGTCTTGTCATAGTGTCGCTTCTGCATTGCTTGGGCCTGCTCCAACCTGCAGCGAATGTCAGCGAGAAACTCCGCCCGTTCCGCCATGTTCTTGGCGACGGCAGGAACCCTTGTCTCACCCGGCTCATAGGACCGGATAGATGGCGGATCACGGCCGTAGACGACGCGGAACGGGGTGTCCCGGAGCGACGTCTGGTACGCCGTGTTGAAGAGGAACTCGGCCCAGGGCAGCCACCGGAGCCAGTGCTTTGGACGATCGCCCGTCAAGCACCGAAGGTACATAATGATGACTCTGTTGGCCGACTCCGATTGGCCATCAGTCTGCGGGTGAAAGGCAGAGGACATGTGCAGCTTGGTGCCCGTCAGTGTCATGAGTTCCTGCCAAAATGAAGATGTGAAGACAGTGTCCCGGTCGGAGACCATGGACTGGGGAACACCGTGTAGGCGAACTACTTCCGCGAAGAAAGCTTGAGCGACGGATTCGGCGGAGTAGGGGTGCGCCAGTGGAATGAAGTGACAATATTTGCTGAAGCGATCCACCACCGTTAGGATCACTGACTTGCCGCGGACGCGTGGCAGAGCTTCCACAAAGTCAAGGGCAATGTCGGTCCACACCCCCTGAGGAACTGGGAGCGGCAGCAACAGCCCTGCTGGGTGCAGGTGCTCAGATTTGTACCTCTGGCACACAGCGCACGCGCGCACCTTGTCTTGCACGAGCTGCTTCATGTTGGGGAAGTGGAAGTCCCTGCGAAGACGGTGGATGGTACGCTGCACACCCTCGTGGCCGTCCTCGTGCACCGCCTGTATCACCTCCTGGAGCAGCGGCGACCCAGCCGCGATGTAGAGCCGGCCGTCGTACTGCAGCATTCCGTCGACGACCGACCATGGGCTGGAGCGGGCGCCCGAGGCGACCTCCTCATGTAGAGCAACATAGGCCGGGTCCTCCCTTTGGGCCAGGCGCAGGCGCTCAAAGAAATCGAAGCGAGGGCCAGAGATGGCCAACAGCTCGATGTCCTCAGTGTCGCGCCTGGAGAGCGCGTCGGCCACAGCATTTGCGGCGCCCGGCTTGTAGTCGACGGAGAAGTCGAACCCGAGCAGCTTGCCAACCCAATGATGCTGGGGTATGGTGGCTAAGCGCTGGTCCAACAAGTACTTCAAGCTGTAATGGTCCGTCTTGACGGCGAAGCGGCGCCCCCACAGGTATGGACGCCAGTGGCGGACTGCCTGAACGAGCCCGATGAGCTCGCGCTCGTACGCCGCGAGTGCCCGATGCCGTGGAGCCACCGGCCTGCTGAAGAACGCCACTGGGTGGCCCTCCTGGATGAGGACAGCGCCGAACCCGTGGGAAGAGGCGTCGCACTCGACGACGAACGGCTTGGCGAAGTCGGGCATGGCCAACACCGGCGCTGCCGTCACAGCGCGTTTGAGGGTGCTGAATGCCTCAGTGGCGGCCTCACCCCAGGAGAACCCCTCCTTCTTGAGGAGAGCGGTGAGAGGCGCGGCGATCGTCCCGTAGTTGTGGATGAACTTGCGGTAGTAGCCCGCCAAGCCGAGGAAGCCGCGGACGGCGCGCACCGAGCGAGGCACCGGCCACTCATGGATGGCCTGCACCTTGGTGGCGTCCATGGCCACTCCCGCCGCCGAGATGGTGTGGCCCAGGTAGGCGACGGACTGAACGCCGAACGCGCACTTCGACCTCTTGACGAAGAGGGATTGACGGCGGAGCTCGGTGAGGACGATGCGCAGGTGGCGGAGGTGATCAGCCCATGACTTGCTGTATATCAGAATGTCGTCAAAGAAAACAAGTACAAAGCGACGAAGAAAAGGCCGCAGCACGTCGTTCATGAGCGCCTGGAATGTGGCCGGCGCGTTGCACAGTCCGAATGGCATGACGAGGAACTCGTAGAGGCCGTCATGTGTGCGGAACGCCGTCTTGTGAACATCTTCCGGCTGCATGCGCACCTGGTGGTACCCGGAGCGCAGGTCTAGCTTGGTGAAGAACCGGGCGCCGTGGAGTTCGTCCAGCAGCTCGTCGACGACCGGAATCGGGTAGGCGTCCTTCACCGTGATGGCGTTCAGCTCGCGGTAGTCGACGCAGAAACGCCATGATCCATCCGGCTTCTTGACGAGCAGCACCGGGGAGGAGAACGCGGAGTCGCTGCGCCGGACAATGCCTTGCGCCATCATGGACTCACATTGCTTCTCGAGTTCATCCTTGTGAGCGGCGGGATACCGGTACGGCCGTACTGCCACCGGAGCCGACCCAGGCCTGAGGGCGATGCGATGGGGACGGCCCCGAGCCGGGGGTAGGCCGGTGGGCGTGGCGAAGACGTCAGCGAAGGAGTCGAGCAGCTCGTCGAGGAGGGGCTCGGTGGAGGTGGTAGTAGCTGCGTGCAGATGGGGCGTGGCTGGTGGACCGGTGCCGCGCCAGCAGATCTCCTGGCCATCGTGCACGAAGGACATGGTGCCCGCTGCCAGGTTCCAGACGATGTCCCCTAGGGGCACCATCCAGTTCGTCCCCAGGACCACGTCATAGCCCGCCAATGGCATGATGAAAAGGTCGACGTGGGACTGGTGGCCGTCGATGTCGATGGGCGCGCGCCGGAGGACGCCTGGGCACGCGATCCGCTCCCCATTGGCGACCGTCGCTGTGAGACGGGGCCGCGGCTCGATGGGCAGGCCGGTGCGACGCGCTGCCGCCTCGCCGATGAAGCTGTGGGTAGAGCCGGTGTCGATCAGCGCGACGAAGACCTCGGAGCCCAGCACAACGCGCAGCTGGATGGTGCTGCTGACCGCGACGCCGGCCACTGCATGGAGAGAAAAAACCGGAGCCTCTTCCTCACCTTCATCACCATCAATCTGGACGCCGTCGATGTAGAAGACCCGGCGACAGATCCGGTTGTGGCCGCGCGTGTAGGTCTCGTTGCAGTTGTAGCAGAGGCCTTGTCGACGGCGTTCTGCCATCTCTTCAGGCGTCAGGCGGTGGCCCGTCTTGGCGCCGCCCCGGGGCTGCTGCTGTTGGAGCGCAGGCTGGGGAGCCGGGAGTGCCAGATGCGCTGGTGGAGCCGGAAGTGCGGAGACGACCGGTGGAGCAGGTGCGGGCGCCCGGGCTGCTGGTGCCGGCAACAGCGCACGTTGCATGGGACGGGGTGGAGCCTGCTGGAGCCGATCCAACTCCATGACTTCGACCTGTCGCGCCAGGCTCATCGCGTGATTGAGCGTTTCCGGGTGGTGTAGGCGGACGGCGTGGCTGAGGGGCGGCAGGAGTCCGCCGGTGAAGAGCTGCACCCTCTGGGTCTCGTCAAGACGACCCGCGCGCGGAAGAAGTTCCTGGAAGCGATTTGCGTACTCCTCGACGGTCCCGGTGCGGCGACACTCGGACAACTCGAAGAGAGGCGCCGAGCGTAGATGAGGGCCAAACCGCAGGTGGAGGAGGTCTTTGAAACGGCCCCATGGCGGCGTGCCTTCATCCTCCTGCAGCTGGATGAACCACATGTGGGCGACGCCTTCCAGTTGATACGACGCCATCCACACGCGCTCCTCCGGCATGGTGCGCTGCTGCCGGAAATAGGACTCACACTTGTTGATGAAGAACAATGGGTCCGACTTGCCATCGTAGCGTGGAAAATCGAGCTTCTGGAACTTCGGGGGCCGATCAAGGTCCCTTGGCGCCTCGACGCGGCCGCCGCCGCCACCGGTCTCCGAGGAGGACGCACGTTCCGGAATGCCCTCCACCTTCTCCTTCATGGCGGCCATGTCGGTGGTGAGGGTGTTGAGCTTGGCCATGATGTCGGCCAGCGTAGGCTGATCGCCCATTGTGGATGCGGAGGTGGTGGCTGGTGGCGAGGGTGGGCGGCTGCTTGTGGTTGGTGCGGCAGAGGAAGAAGATGAGGATCGAGTGGATCTAGATACCAGGTTGTCAAGGGCCGTATGTGGAATGGTGGCCGGACCTCGACTACGGAGCTCGTAGTCGCGCTCCGTGGTACTTCGGCGGGGTTATGCCCCCTCGCCGCTCACACTCGTCGGGTTATACCCCCTGACTCGTGGCTTAGGAGAAGGAGGAGGAAGATTAGATGTAAACTCTTTCTTGATTGCAATTGTCCTCTCGTACATGCATATATGGCCGATGGCCCAGCTAAACATGGCAACAAACTAAAGGAAACAACTCCTTAATTCTAGGATCTCATAACAGAAACTATCCTAACCTCCCATCCTAGCCACTGGTGGTGACCGCGTCCTGCTCAGCCTGGGCGCCGTTGACGCGCTCTGCAGCCCGCTCCTGGGCTCGGCGTACATCTCGGGCCCTCCTGCGCCTTGTGTATGTACGACCGAACATGACAGTACTTAGTAATAAATTGAGAATGTATATAGTTTAAGAATTTGAGTGAAATGTTTTGTCAATATTAAAAGGATTAAAAAAGGTAGGGCACCATCACATAATTGGGACCTTTGGTACAATGTTTCTAATGAGAACCTTTGATACAATGACCTTGGCTACTTTTAAAGCCAGCAAGAGTTGGCCCTACTCATTTTGTTGAAATTTTCTTTTTATTGTTTGTTTGTAGTGAACTACTCAGGCGAACCACGTATGTTTGCTTCTTCTATAAATTGGGTATTAAAGGCATTAGCGATGTCCAGTTGGTGATAATATCTCTCACTGCTACCAGATATGTTGTTTAATATTATACGGTACTTAATTTCACCTTTGTTTTCCTAGTAGTATTACTTAAAGTCAGTATTTGGCTTCAACAAGGATCAGTTCTCAGAGATTCTAATGGTCGTAGGCATTGGATCAATCTTTTCTCAGGTGCTGCTTTAAAAATTCTTAACCACTTTAAAATTTTAAATGAAGATTTTGCATGGCTTAGATTCAAGCTTTATTAATTTTGGTTTTTTAATAACGTTACTCAAATTGCAGAGCTTGATCCTTCCATTTATTAGCCACAAAATTGGAGATAAAGGAATTGTATGTCTTTCACTACTCACATCTGTTGCTTATGTGAGTTATCCTACTCAACTTCCATTGAGTGTGCACTAATCACAGCTACACTATTAAAAATTTACACATTATTTCTAAATTATTTTTCAGGCTTTGCTTTATGGTGTTGCATGGGCTTGGTGGGTATGTATTAAACTCAAGCTTACCTTAGCAATTGATTTCTGTTCTAAGCGAAAAATGTTGCACGTACGCTGATGGGCTTACTTGATGTAACTATGAAAGGTTGCTGCATTCACCTTTTACCTCTGTTGCAGGTTCCTTATTTTAGCTCTTTATTGGGCATTATTTATGTGATGGCCAAACCAGCTGTAAGTAATAATTTATATTCATCTATGCAGCAATATGACATAAGAATTTTCTTTGGTTAACAGTTAGTAGAAGGGAAGGCGTTGACTAAAGCTTTTCAGGCCAAATTTAATATTTTCAGTGCATTCCAATGATATTTCATTATTGCAAACTTACTAGCATTAAAAATATGTGAATATACAGATTTATGCTATCATTTCTTTGGAAGTACTCGCAACTGATCAGGTACATGTCCATACGCCACTTAACATGGCTTTTTTGTCAATTCAATCCTGAAACGTTTTATTATGTACATACTCTGAAATTCTGTGTTATCTGTTCGAGAAAAAAAAATCTGTGTTATCAACTAGTTGTTTCTCTCAGGGGAAGACCCAAGGTTTTATCGCAACCGTAGAATCTGTGGCCAGAATGTTGGCACCACTTTTAATGAACCCACTAACATGTGAGCAATCACCTTTTGTATCAAATTGGAAAATTCCAGCATTTAATTTCTTAGGGACCTTACACACTACATTCTGTATTTGATCACACCTTTTTTATTTGCTCCTCTGTTTCATTTCAGCTTACTTCATTTCACAGGAAGCCCCCTTCAATTGCAAAGGTTTCAGTTTCCTTGTGGCTGCTTTGGTTTTGGTGGGTTCTTTTGCTCTCGTAGTATGATTGAAATGTGATAATAAAGTGATGCAATATATTTATATCTCTGGATTCTGGAATATGAACCACCAATAGATTCCTTCTTTGCTAAATATTTATACAGGCTACCTCCTTGTGCTTTGCTTGGACACTTAATCCCAAAAGCCAGGATAAATACCGAGAAGTTCCAAATCCAAATGACCCTGACGAGGAAGCATTGCGAGAACCACTATTATCTTGATGGCCAAAACCATGAAGCCACGAAATTGAAGAAGATCTTTCAACCAAATGGAAGTCAAAAGCGCCTGTACTCATCACATTAGCTGAATTAGCCGTCAAATCCAACATAGTGTTCGTATAGTAGATTTTGTACATACACTAGAAGGCAGCTGTAAACCTGTAACGATTGAGTGGTCTAATCATGTACTTCATTTCTGCAAATGAATTTAGAACCCAAATCAATTATTAGCATCCCCAGTGATGTACATATTGGTGATATAGCATGGCAGTATATAAATGTAATAATTTTTTTGTAGTTGCTTTGCATGGAGTGATGGATTCATATGTGACACTTTGAATGTGCTTATTTAGTTTGCAACATCAAGTTGATCCATATTGTGAAACTATGGCTCTAGCTAGGAGTGGATAACTTTAGAGCAAGATGATGAAGAACTCGTCCCTAGTACGTTGCAAGTTAATTAATCCTCCTCGTGCTCCTCCCATACCTCGCAAAAAACGATCTTCATCTCAAGTTACAGCGGTGACGGAGCTTACAAGGCGAGCATCGTGACCAGGGTTGATATTAGTGAGCTACAACACGTGGGTCGGGCTCCCGTACTCCTCAGGCGCTTGGGATTTGCGTGCAAATCGGGGCGGAGGGCCATGCTTGAAAGACCTGCAAGCAAGATGACCACTATGCGGTAGGAATTAGCGACGTCATGGATCTCCTCTCTACTCTCTCTCTCTATTTTCTAAATTATAAGTTGTTCTAGTTTTTTTTTATATACATAGCGTTAGCTATGCACCTAGTTATACATTTTGTCTACTTATATAGTAACCTAAAAATTCAAAACCACTTACAACTTAGAACGGAACTTAGAATCGATAATGACACGCCACGCAAGTCGTCGACCCATCCGGACACGCTCTAAAAAAACTCCCCACATGTGGCCATCTGCTCGTCCCACACCCATGGTGCCTCCATCCCGTGCCATCCCCTGCGGCGCCTCCGCCGGCCCTTTCTTCCCGTCCCCTCGCCCGGCCAGAGCTCCCCGACCCCTTCTTCCCGACCCCACCTAACTGAACTCGTCGGTGGTCACTGCTGCTGCTGCGCCGACCCCTTTCCTCTCGGCGAGCCTGCGGACGACCAGACTGCGCCTTCCTCTCCTCCCGCCGTTGCAATAGCGACAACCCAGTGAGTGCCGCCAAAGCTTGTTGGCGACCTGTCCCCACCGCCCCCTCCGCTCGCCTCGAGAAGGGGCCACGACGGCGCTGCCCTCCGCCTGCCCACCCCCCGCTTTGCGCTGCGTCGTACGGAAGAAGAATGGTGAAAAACGCATGTTGGAAGCGTATGAGTGTTTCAGATATTTCACAGGTATGTTGCAAGTGTTTTATGTAGATGTTGCAAAAGTAGATCGGGATGTTGCATATGTTGCAATGGTTGTACACGTATGTTGCAAGCTTCTGTTCTCAATGTTTCATCTGTTTTTTCAGACATATGTTGCAAGTGTATTTATTTGGATGTTGTATATGTTTCACACATATGTTGCATGTGCTTTTATCTAGATGTTGGATATGTTTTACAATAGGTTTCAAGTGTTTTTCATGTGTTTTTGCAAGTGTTTCAGATAAATATTTCAAGTATTTCATCTGCCTTTAGACGTACATTGCAAGTGTTACGCCTGAATGTTTCAAAAAATACATCGGGTGTTGCATCTTCTTCATCGCTTTCTGCTGCCTCGCCTCGGTGTCTCCTCCTCCTCCTTATGCCGGCTAGGCATCCGTCACCTCCTTTCTTTTTTCTCGATGACGTTCGGGGCAACACAGAACCGACGTGGGTAAAACGGTGCGAGAAACATACTTCAGGCACGAAAAACGGACGTCCGTGCGCTTACAAGCCCGAACGAGAGTATTGTGGTCTTGTGGAGCACAAGCTGAGCAGCACCGGACATGATGTAAGCATCCGTCACGGACTCACGGTGCACCAATGGGAAAAAAAGAAAAAAAAAACAAATAAAAATACCGTCAAGCCTCGTTCCCGGCTCCCGCCTCCCCTACGCGCCACCTCCCTGCCGTCCTCGCGTCCGGCGCCGCCTGTCTCCTCTTGCGCCTCGTCGGCTCGTCCCTTTCCTCCCCCTCCCCGGTCCCCGGACACCGAATTTCTTCTGCGTCAGCTCCGGCGGCAGCGCCACAGCGCACCCGGCCTCCTTCTCCTTGTAAGGTCCAGTCTCCGTGTACCGGCCCAGAACTAGCCCGTCGGCGGCGGGCGGCCGGAGACTGTGGCGCCGGAAGGGAGGTCGCGCGAGAAAGAGGGTACCGACCGCAAGTAACAGTCAACAGAAGGTCCGTTTGATCTCAATCCATCGCCTGAATTTACTTATTACTGCCTGCCCGACATGGCACTCGACCGACCCCTCTGTCCTTTTCTAGCTCCACCTGCTACACTCGATGAAAAGCTACTAAAGCGTTCCTCCTCTACGTTGCAGCTCGTGCATTTTGTGCTTAATTATTTCTTTTTTCAAACAAAAAAAAGATATAAATCCTCCTCTTGGGTAATTACCAAGTGGGCACTGAACATATATAGGATTGCTCAAGGGAAGGGAAGGACATCTGGAGATGGGTTGCCTTGGAGGCGACGAGATGAGAGTTGTGATGAGGCCGTTGCTGCACCTCCTAGTAGGGATGGTGCTGTACGGGGTCGCCGAGGAGATGATCGTGCCTGCACTCGTCGACAAGGTCACCACCGCGCTCTGCCCCCTCAGTGCTACCAGCTCTGCCTCCACGCCCTGCTCTGAGGCTTTCTACCTCACCGGCCTTCAGTCCTCGGTATGTCTCGTCTCTATACGATTTTGGTTTGTGCACTATTGTTTCCAGCATAACAACTTGGTTTCTCTAGGAAAAGAAAGTGCTAACGCAACACGAGTGAAAGCGAAACACATTAAGCTGCCTTATTACGAATCTTGCCAAAAGCCACAAGTGCTCAACAAAATGTCAAAGGAGCAGTGCCATATGCAGATCTTATTGCAGAGTATGTAAAGCTTGGATATATGTTAGGATTTTTTTAATTGACCCATTAATTGAGCACCACTGGGGGTGGGGTGGGGATGGTGCTGTTCTAGGTGGCTAAAGAGCAGATGGCATTCGTCAACTTTATCATCAGTGTGCCCTCTACGCCCCTGCACAGGGGACTTCCCTGGAATCTGTCTATCTATCTATATCGCCTGAGTACACATCCTTCCGTATCAGTGTTCTTCTCTTTGTAGTTAGTTACTAAAACGACCATGCATCTGCCACATAGATTGACTAAGTTGGTGAAATTATGCAATCAGAATTATATGGTGATCATTGAGGGATGTTTCTGCTTTGGCAACAGAACAGTTGATATGGTAAATCTGTTTGTTTCCTGAAGGAGATAGTGTTTCTTTGAGCCAAGTACAATAATTCAGCTAAACAAGTAAAACACTGAAACAGGATAAACAATTTCATTTGTGCTGGTTTTGATTTGTTTTTTTCTGGAAATCAAGTTTCAATTCAATGTATTGAGTGCAGGTTGGGGGCATTTTCAGGACTATAGGGCTCACTCTGATGGGTCAGCTAGCTGATGAATATGGCCGCAAGCCTATCCTCCTCCTCTCTGCCTCCACCTCCATAATACCATTTGGTAATTTTTCGATTTGTTGTCTCAACTACTAATGTGATCCCTTCAATTTGTAGGCCTCACAACTAAGCCTCACAACTAGTCACACAAGACAATTCATATGGATTAAGTTTTAATTTGACCATGGAGCACGTCTATGCTTGTTCCTTTCAGTAAAGTGTTCACTTGTCCATTTGATGTGGATGTTAATTGGTGTTCATGCCTGCAGCTCTGCTTGCATGGAAAAATTCAAGGGCTACTGTACATGTCTACCTTGTTATGCGTACTTTTTCATACATGATCGGCCAAGGAACCATAATATACCTTGCAGTTACATACACGGTGAGAAATAGTTTCAAATTTTTCTCCATTGTAGAAAAAAAAATGGCATGTCAGTGGTTGAACTGCTCCTGTATTGTCAATTGAAGTCTTCGTATGCATCTTTTTTTTAAGGTAAAATCATTTTTCCTTTTTTTTTTACATGAACTATTGCCTTGACTGAAGTTGGTGACTAGATAGAACCTAGTTACCTTGTGTTGTCAAAGTCACTAATTAAATGGATAAACTACAAAAAAAATCAACATTATTTGTTTTAGAGTTTGTCAGTTACTTGCATGGAAAGACAACAAACCTATGTTATAAGATCCTTCAAGTGGCATTGTTTGTGATTAATTGAATATAACTGATAAAAACAAACAGAAGTTTACCACTATACATTTGTTATGTTGCTTGTGAATAAAGATATGCAATCTGACAGTCTAAAATGTTCCCCTGAATTAGGCGGATGTGGTTGAACCATCAAAGAGGGCGGCTGCCTTTGGTATCCTGACAGGAATTTTCTCTGCTTCGCACGCTTTAGGAAACATCTGTTCAATGTTTCTTCCTGAGAGTTGGATTTTTCAGGTATCACTAGTTGAATTATTTATTTTTAGTCGCATCATATTGTTAATTATTTTTTTCTTCTTTGCAAGTTTCAGCTTACAAGTCCTGGACCATGGTTTTTCAGGTATCAGTTGTTTTGTCAGTATTATCTGTGCTCTACATGAAACTGTACCTGGTGGAGACAGTCCAAAGAGCTCCCTCGGTGCCTTGTCAGCGTTTGACTTTGTCATCTTTGGTTGTTAGTTTACCCCAGCAACGCTGGAACTGTATGAAGGAGAACATTAGCATAATCAAAAACAGGTAAGGCTTCTGCACACAGTATGTAGTTGACTTTATCATTAAAGATGTTTAATACTCAAGGAATTCATGAAATTTCATGTCAAATCCTATAAGAAGTTTAGGGCTCCCTCCTAGTTCTCATATAAGAAATGTTGATAATAAACTTGTATTTGAACTATTAACAACAAAAATGATGTGTCCCAGAAATATTTGCAAAGGTATTTTTTCTGTGGCCCTTTTTTTTAAAAAAAAATATGTATAAAGTTTTATATGAGTTCAGAAATATCTATCTTGAAAGTTCTGTCAGAGTTAAGTCAAACTTCTTCCTTCGTTCATGAAGGGCCTACAGGAATGAGCAGCAGACTTACTGATTCCATTAAGAATAAGGCAGTACTTATTCATCTATTCATGCTCGGAAACTTTTATACAATGACAATCAATTAGTTTTCAAGTCAGCCAGTGTTTAGCAACTGCTAATGCAATTTTTGTTAAACTTGTATTATTGTGTTTATAGTGAAACACTTAGGAGAATCACATTCATTTCCTTCTTCTATGAATTGGGAATGATGGGCATCAGTGATGTCCTTCTGGTAATTATTTTCCTACTTTCTACTTCATGACAGTGTCTAGTCGAATTGCACACTTCATTTCATTTCATTTTTCCAGTACTACCTCAAGTCAGTATTTGGCTTTGACAAGGATCAGTTCTCAGAAATTCTAATGGTGGTAGATATTGGTTCGATCTTTTCCCAGGTGAAATTTTTAGTTTTAATTAGTACCCCGTTGGTCACCATAATTTTTAATGGCTAAGTATCATTTTGTTAGATTTGCAGTTCGTGATACTGTTTCTAAATTGCAGATTTTGGTCCTCCCTCTTCTTAGCCGTGTAATTGGTGGAAAAGGAGTATTATGCATTTCAATACTCACATCAATTGCCTATGTGAGTTATTGCACCGGGATCATTTGCTATGTTTTTAATAATCTAAGGTATACTATTACAAAATTCAGTTTATTGATTTCTGAGGAAAAGTTGTTCTGCAGGCTTTTCTTTATGGTGTTGCATGGGCTTGGTGGGTACGTATTTGAGCTTGGACATGCATTGTGATGGGTTTATGTTGTACAATTGCAAAAAATTGTTTTGGTTAACTTGCATCTGTTTTGCAGGTGCCTTATATTTGCTCTTCGCTGGGTGTCATCTGTGTTCTGGCCAAACCAGCTGTAAGTCAATCTTGTATTTTGGTTCTGAGTGGTGGTATGGAACAAAAAAAATCGTGGTTATAATTTCACAGAAGGATGTTCTGTGACTTAAACTGTCTCAGCATCAAATTCACCAGTTACATATTCAGTGTGTTCCAATGCTTTTGTGCATGCATGTGGAAAGTATGCAAATCTACAGAGTTTCATGGTTAAAAATTATCTGAAGGAAGGCACTGGCTGAAACTTTTGCAGCACCGATTCATGCATCATACATATCCTCTCTGCATTTAAGTGATACTTGTACACTTACTTGCGTCATAAATATGCATATCTGCAGACCTATGCAATAATTTCTGGGGAAGTACTTTCAACTGATCAGGTACCCATACATACGCTACCTGTCTTTGTTTTGTTTTGGTAATTGAAGAATGAAACCTTTTAGTCTAATCTTCTGTCTTACTGGCATAGTTTTGTTTTTTTATTAAAAATACAAATTCACAGGGAAAGGCACAAGGGTTCGTCGGAACCATGCAGTCGATGGCTACATTGCTGGCACCTCTATACATGAGCCCACTGACCTGTTAGCACTATTTTACAAATTCATTGTTTGTTCCTAATCCTATGGACTAACTCTACACGCTCCATTCTTTATTGAGTGTAGTATTCTGGTCTGATCCTTTTCCATGCTTGTCTTTCAGCTTACTTCATTTCACCCGAAGCCCCCTTCAACTGCAGAGGATTCAGTTTCCTTATGGCTGGTTTCTTCTTGGTTAGGACCTTTTTCTCCTTTGCAGTATGGTTAATATGGCTTTACAACTGGATATCTGAACATGCAGTTTTTCTAATGCTAAATACACTTACAGGCAATCTCCTTATGCTTCGCTTGGACGCTTATTCCAGAAAGAAAGGACAAATGCTCCGAAGTTGCTGTTTCAGGCCAGCCTGATGAGGAGGCAGAGCAAGCACCTCTTCTGGCTAATCGTATTGCTATTAACACCATCTGCTAATCAGATAAAAAAGCAAGAAAGTATTTGCTTGCACCATCTGCTAATCGTACTGCTAACACCAATTTACCATCTGCTAGTGCATCAGTAGTGTTTCTGCACACAAATTTAGCTATAGAACAATACCGACAAGTTTAGTGCATGTTGGTGGTAGTATGGCAGCATCTGCAATTCTGGTTGCAGTTGCAATGGTGCATAGCTGACGATGGTAAAAGTGATAGCTTCTTTTCATCTTACATGTAACCATCAGGAGCTCATGTAACACTAAGCCGTGCTTGATAATGCGTGTGCCTTGTCAGATGGTGCTAATTTTGGAATTCGTGTGAAACAATTTGATCAATTTACTACATGTCTCTCCTTATATGTGAGCTGAATAGTCGTAAGGCAAAAGGAGAATTCAGTTAGCAATCCTAGTTGTATATGCAAAGCGAAGGCCTTAGACGTGCCGGAAAGAATCAGTTTGCAGTTTCCAAATATTTAGTACGTGCAATGGTCTATGCTCACTGAAGCCTACGTTTCCATTTCTACCTTTTCAGCATCAGTTTGAGGCTGTCCGTGTTGCAAACCTTCTTGTGTCAATTAGCAGTAAACAGATCGCATTTCTCAACTGATAATTTACAAGTTGCATTGCATTGGTAGCAAGTTAAAAACTGATATCTATCTGGTCAGAAAATGCGGCGGCCGATGAGACATGTGCTCAGTTTAATACTAGCTAGTCTTGTTCCTGTCTCCACTTTGCTGCGTCAGGAACAACTCAGTCATCAGCCTGTTCGCTTGTTGGTTTCAGCCATGACTTATCAGTCAGCCAACAGTATTTTCCTCTCACAACAAACCAGCACCAGTCAGGCTTATCAGCCCAGAAACCAACCAGCCAACAGGCTCCAGATCACTTACGTGGCCTTCATGTTTGCATGCATTAGCATCACTAAATTGTTTTATGCGTAATTGGCATCTTGTTCCGACACGATGAATCACTGATGGAATCAGAGCGACACGCAGTTTCGGCACGCAGCACGTCACTAGCTAATTGACACTTGTGTTTCGGATACTCCCACTTGGCAACATGTCAGAGGCTTGCAACGTGCACAGTATCTCATCTTGGTATATACTATTGCTAGCGTGGCAAGAACCCACAAACAAAAACTAATAATAAAGTATCAAAGCAGTTGCAACACAAGAACATGTCCAGTAAAAGTGACATGATTATAGATTACAGTTTGCAGCATGGCATAACATGCAAAGTAGTATTTAACTTGGTCAGGCTTTCCTCTACCAGTGATACCGTGATCTGGTAATGGTTAGTTGGCTCTACTTGTTCACAGTTCTTTTTTCAGAGATTTTGTTCAACTTTTGAAGGCCACGAAAAGCTAAGCCATCTGTCTATTATCTTCATGTTATAGTATTTACTAATATAGAAGCCACTGCATTCGCTTTAATCAGAGCTAAAAATCAACCACTCTATTTCAAATTATAAGATGGTTTGGCTTTATAGATACACAGTTTTCTTATATAGATATATTTTATATCTAAATACATAGCAAAAACTATCATATTTAAAAAACAAAACATCTTATAATTTGGCACGGAGGAAGTACCGATTGATCATAAAAAAAGAGAGATCTATACGGAATGGTAAAAAAGACACGCAACTAATAAAAACTAGTCAAATAAATAAAAAACTGTAGTGTGTCACTAAAACGTGACTATGTTTCTGCACACAAATTTTAATTCAAGATCAGTACCAACCAGTTCAGTGCGTGTTTTTGTTGGCATGGAAGCATGAGAAATTATGCCTCCTGTGGTCCTGTTGCAATAGCTTCCTTGGCGGTGAAAGCAATAGCTTCCACTGTTGTGCCCCTCAAAAGTGCATATGGAGTATGTCACTTTAAACAGTGCTTCATATAATAACGCGTACCCTGTCGGATGATGCTAATTCTGGAATTTGTGTGAAGCAACCCAATTTACTATTCGGTTTCCATCTTATCTAGTAGTTACTGGCAGGGATGAAACCCTCTCCCATTTTCACTTTAATATTTTATTACAAAAATAAAATAAAAAACGAAGTCGGGAAGACCGAAAACGGAGCGGAAACATGATTCACTGAAAATCGGAAATGGAACAATTCGAATGAAATTATCGACATATGTCGATAATGATCGAGATACAAAAAGATAAAATAGAAACATCGAACATATAGAACCAAGAAACCTGACTTCAAATACTTATCTAACCTACTTGGCATGACAACACTGTCGACACATAACTAATTCTAGTTAATGCTATAAGGTTTATAGTGAAGACTTGGAAGTTGAGGGCCTTCTTTGATTGTCCCTTCCGGTTTATAGTTTGGTGTTCTGTCATCATATTTGGACAATTTTGTAAAGTTAGTTTTTGTATGTGTTTACTAAACTTGTAAGATGGTATCCACATTTCCTGTGTCGTGTGGGTTCACGCTTTTGGTGCTCTTATTTATTGGTTATAAAAGTAGGGTTTCGCTCTGTTTTTCAGCACTACTTCAGCAGTACTTTTCATCGAACGAACAATGCTTTCCTCTGGTAACAAATCAGCATAAGCAGTAGTATAAGCCAAATTTCAGCGAAAAAAATATCACCTGTGATTTGGTTGGTTCATTGGTTCCCTAATTGATATTTACTAATAATAGTTGTTGATAATGATTATCTTGTCAGATAATTCTGATTATACCTGAAATAATTGGTCTGGTATCTCACTGGTTTGCTATCCGTTTATCGTTATCTAGCTCTAGGTTAAGGCCTAATAATCCGGCTGATCATTGCTTGCTGTAAATGAACCTGTCGCTCCACCTAGAACCGTTTCAGGCACCCGTTTCCAAGTAATCGAACCGGCCTAAATATGTTTAATACAAATGCAGTGTCCTCGGTCCTTTTGCTTCACTTCATGGTTGTCCTTGTTGCAAACCAGTAGTGAACACGTTGCATTGCTCAACACCTCGATTCATCGCTTACACTGGCAATTAAAAACTGCTCCCTAGTCCAAAAGGTACGGCGGTGGATACTTTTGCTCTTACTTTTATTTATATATATAATAATATACTCGTGTCATTTGTTAAAGAAATCGCTTGTCGTTTGTCTGCTGCGCCAGTAACATCTCAGAGTCTGCTTGGTTGGTTTGCTGGTCACTGTTGTGAGCCAGGCTAGCAAACCAAGGCAGCCGTTTTGGTTTCTTTGCTTGCTCACCTTGGGACCGCACGGGCAAGCTTTGCCTGGCTCCTGCGAGAGAACCAATTCGGCTCGCTCCATCGGGCAAGCTCCTCGTGGTTCGCGCTGATGCAGCCAGGCGAGGCGAGGCAAAGCTGCTGCCGCAACCAAGCAGCCCCTCAGTCATCGCAATTCGCAAACGTAACCTTGATGCTTGCATTACTAATAGTTCTCTTTTTGTACTAGCATAGCATGATAGCACCTTGATGCTTGCATTACTAATAGTTCTCTTTTTGTACTAGCATAGCATGATAGCATCCTCCGGTACACACTTGTGTCTTATCCAGTCTGATCTGATAGCATTAGTACTACCAATTGGCACCTTTTCAGCATGCATGTATGATGGTCTGTTCGGCTGGTATTAAAGCCGGCTGATAAGTCGGCTGAAGCTAATTTGTTGTGAGAGAAAAATATTGTAGATTCTAGCTGATAAGCTGGCTGATAAGTTTAAGCGAACACGAGGAATTGTTCACAACTCTGCCAAACTACGATATGCATGATCAGATGGTGTTTAATTTGAGCAAGGATTGTTTTGCTCTTTTCCAGCCACTTTGCAGCCTCATTCGCAGACGTGCAAGACATCGTAGCTGCTGCTACTGCTAGTTTTCCAGGGTTGGATATTTATGGCCTCCACCCTACAAGATGCCGTACGTGCGTGTGCATCTTCACTACTGTTGCGCTGGTGGCCGGAGAACCGACCGAAAACACGCCACACCTGCACTGCATATATGATATGATACGTATATTGCTGCCAACATGTGCCCTTTTAACATCTCGTGAGCTGAACTGAAGCAATTGTTTTCTATGCAACTGCTCTGCGTGTGCATGCCTCTTAATCCATACAAGAACAAGTGCGTGCCCCAACCTGACGACCGGAACCGGAGAGAGCAAAAAGACGGCAGCAATATATTTAACGACAGGCTGCTCTCATTTCGAGTTGGGTCAGGCGCCGCCGCCCGCCGGCTGGCCAAATCCAAGTTGGTGAAGATCATGATTTGGGTTGGCATAGTAGTTATTATCTTTGCAATTACGGTTCGAATCTATCCGATTTTTATCTTTTTGTTCAATGAACGAATAAAACCCCTTGTTGAAGCCCTTTATAATAAGCTTCCCATATGGACGACAAATTGAACAGCCAGCTCGGCAAGCAGATCCCTTCTTGGGTGTGTCAATGCAAATGCATGCATGCTTTAGAACATGATGATGACAAGATAGGATATTGGCTGACCTTTTACGTACCTTTCGTTTGGGTTATAAGTCGTATTTTTTTAGTCAACGAATAATATTTTTTTCTCACAACAAATCAGCCAACCATACTTTCAGTCATCGCTTATTAACCAAGCGAACAGGACATTAGTTTAGCTGCACCGTACCTGCACTGCACTCATTGGTCGTACTAGCTACCTACTATAGTATATATATCTATTCTGTGTTCTCTGTACTGAGACGGGAGGCTGCAATGCGTATCTGAATCCTCTGCATCAATCGGTATCCACTGCGGCACATTTGCCCATGTGAGATCAGATAGTAAAAAATATACTAATATTTATCGTATTAAAGTATATATGTCAAGTTTTTTTACCAAATTGATATAAAAAATATACTAATATTTATCGTATTAAATAGGTACCATAAGATTAGTCATAAAACATATTTTCATAGTGTATCTATTCAAAGTTCTCTATGTTGATACTATTTTTATAAACTTAATTAAACTTAAAAATGATTTAGTTTTGATCAAATCTAAAATTGCACTCTGTTTTTGAC